CCTAATGAGAATGTTATTGTTAGTGGCCCGAAATCTTGGTGGTGCATCTAAAAAGGTTTACCTGGTCCCGGAGATACGGATTTAGTAAAGTGAGCCACCTTGTGAATTTGGTGCCAGCGGATGCTGTAGACGAAAGGCAGTCTTGTTCGCCCCGTATAGGAGATATGGCGTTCCATTTCCCGTGTAGGAGGAGTCATGCATCATCGGACTTTAGATTATACGCCCTTATTAACCATGAGGGAAGTTACGCAGGAGGCCACTATGAGGCCGTTTGCTACCACCAAAAATGCCAGCGGTGGTATCTGTTTGATGACAGTACAGTACGACTCCTGCCAGAGGACGCTGACATAGTGAATAACAATAATTATATCCTACTCTTCAGAAAGATCAGGCAGGCCAGCTCATCCGAACACCTCTCTGAAATGCTACCCAGCACCACTACTTTAGTGCGTAAAAATGCTACCATTACTCCCATCAAACCACCAACTCCTATTAAGCCGTCAAAGTATTTCAAGACCTGCTAATTCCGCCCTGTAAATGAACCACCGTCGTGACCACCGTCGTGTTCTGCTCGAGGAGTGGTCAAATAGACTTGTAGGACTTGTACAGGTTTTCTTTAACAAAGAGCAGCTTCTCTATTGAAGAAATTATGTCCGCCTGCACACAAAACAAACTGTAGCTACAAATATAGAAAACCACCCACCACCCAGACAAACACCTTACCATCGCCCTATGAAGTTCCTCTGATCCCTCCGACTTAACTCTAGACTTGCCCAAAACATGTCGTTGAAATTCGGCTTCTCTTTTTTGCTTCCGATTTTGCTTCCTGGTCACAGCCTTGGATATCGGCACTGAGGTCCGCTTTGCGGCTGCCGTTACACTCACTACGTTCGACTCTGATACCGCCTCATCCGTCTCGGATACCTCATCCGTCTCGGATACCTCATCCGTCTCGGATACCTCATCCGTCTCGGGTACCTCATCCGTCTCGGATACCTCGGCGGATTTTTCACCATCGTCGGCCTTCGTTTGGCAAGCAACGTCACCATCGTCGCGGGCGTCGGTAGCTTGATACCTATCGAAAACCCCTCCTGCTGTCTGCATCACTTTCGGTAACCATGACCAGCCCATGATCAAGAAGCTGCTAACGTCCACGATTCTGAGGGAAAGAGTTTCTGCAGAGGAGGAAGAAGGGAAGGGAATGATAGTTACTGATGAGAAAGTAAGTCCGTAATTTTCGGCATGCATTTGAGAAGGAATTGCCGGTCAACGTGTACTGAGCTCCCTGCTAAGTACCATTTTTTATCGTCATGAATAAGTCCTTTAAGGAACTCCACGATTTGGTCTTGAGCTTGTTCATTGGTTAATTTACTTGAGAGCATGTCGTCTAACAGTCCATTTTGAGAGAAGGTGGCAAGACACCATGGTGAGAGGGCTTCTTTTTCTGTATGGATAACGAGATTTGGTCCTTTAACGAAATGTGAGAGTCTTCGATCGGAAGCGACAACAGCGATTTCAACAATGGTGTCTATTTCGAGGTTGAGTCCTGTGAGTTCCAGGTCTATCCAAATGAGTCCCTGGTAGTTTGTAAGTTGTTTTGGATAGTCTTTAGGATCGATGATTGTGTGGTGTGGCTTTTTGAGTGTCTTGAGGTGAAATCTTTTCGGCATAGGAAAATAAATGGAGGCTGGGCATGCTTATCATGGACAAATAAGAGATGGTCAGTTTCACGGTGATGGAACTTTGATCTATGCCGGCAATGAAAAATATGAGGTAGGAGGAATATATCGTCATATGTGTCCATGGTCATATGTATTCATGGTCATATGTATTCATGGTCGTATGTATCCATGGTTATGTAGGGTCAATTCGTGATGGGCAAGCGGCATGGCCGTGGCAAGTTTACGTACGCGGATGGAGCGGTTTTTGAAGGTGATTGGGTTGAGGACAAAATTCATGGAAAGGGAGTAGCCATTTTCGCGTCCGGGAATCGGTACGAAGGTGACTGGGCGAATGGACGCATTCACGGTCGTGGAGTTCTGACGTATGCGAACGGAGATGTATATGACGGCGAGTGGGTGGAGGGCAAGATGTGTGGGCACGGTGTGTATAAGTACGCTGAAGGTGACATGTATTCGGGTGAATGGAGAGACGACCGTCGTCATGGTGTTGGTACAGTGCGTTATGTATCACCTACAGGGCAGGTGGTAGAGCAGTACGAGGGTGAATGGGAGAACGGCAAGATGCATGGTCGAGGCAAGTATCTATACGGGGACGGCGGGGTGTACAGCGGTCAATGGGTGGACGGAAAGATGGAGGGTCGCGGTACATTCGTTTTCCCCAATGGTAACATGTACGACGGAGAATGGGTAGCCGACCAAAAGGAAGGTCTCGGCCGTCTGCAGTACACCAACGGGGAGTGCTACGATGGAGAGTGGCATGACGACAAGGTACATGGCCGCGGCACACTAACTTACTCCAGGGGAGACAAGTATGTTGGGGAATGGCAGGAAGCCAAAAAACATGGTAAAGGCGAACTTCTCTACAGCAATGGCGATAGCTTCAATGGCGACTGGGTTGATGACCGCGCCTGCGGCTACGGTGTATTCACCTACGCCGTCGGCAACCGATATGAAGGCGAATGGCGCGAAGATAAACGACATGGCAAAGGCATCTTCCACTGCGTACAGGACGGCGGCGTCTACGAAGGGCAGTGGGCTCACGGCCGCAAAGAAGGACCAGGCAAACTATCCTGGCCCGAAGGACTCACCATCACAGGCATCTGGCGACAAGGACAACTCATAGAAACACACTCCCTAGAATTCCCCCCTAAGTCACCTTGGGCCTACCCCGACTTCTAGCCCCCTTCTCACCACCGTACTCACCAACGTATTTACGACCCGACTCACGACTGTGTTGTGCTCACGACCGTGTTGTCTTCACGACTGTGTTGTCCTCACGACCGTGTTGTCTTCACGACCGTGTTTGGACTCACGACCGTGTTGGACTCTTGGAATCCCTGTAACCTTGGATTCCCTGTAACCTTGGATTCCCTGTAACCTTGGATCCCCCAGAATCGTATGAAAAAATCACTACCCTTTCCAGGACAAGACTACCCTTACTACCGCCGGCTTCGTGGCCCGCATCGGACCGGATTGTAGCACGACGGGAAGTACGACAGAATGGATCATCTACTACCGGCAAATGTTTGCACCTGTAAACCCCCTCGCTGCTACAGAGAGCGAGCGCACCGACAGGGGAGCGCGCACCGACAGGGGAGCGCGCACCGACAGGGGAGTGCGCACGGACAGGGGAGCGCGCACCGACAGGGGAGCATGGGCAACTAGCTCCCATGATAATCAATAGCAGAAAAACTTAACAATTGCGGAGCGATTGCTAAGGAGCATGTTGGCCGGTCCATTGAGACCCGGACTGACGGCACAACGAGGGAGCTCCCGTGTGCAGGCTCCCGAGAGAGCGGGCCGAAGTCAGAGCAGCAGCTTATCGGCCTAAAAAGTGGTGGTAAGAATTAGTTCGTGACCCATAGGTCGAACTCCAACAGCTCAACAGCTGTTAGGATGTTGGTCTCTTTTGCCAGGTAGCTTGTCAGCGTTATTCACACACTCTTCTCATCGCCCGTTGGTTACCAATCGAGCAACTGTTGTTCCGGTATTGATCATTGAAGGGTTGACCGCCCATTCCGGGTCGACGGATTGATTATTGGAGGGTTAGTTTCCATTGGTCGGTTGGGAGTGTTTAGGTACGCAGTTGCCCCCCTAACAATGTGGCTATATATTCCTGTCTCGGGCATCGATCCGTAGCCTGTTCGCGGTTTCGTGCCCTGTAGTCTCTGTAAGTAATCTCGGTAGCCGAGGGCGGCCTCCACATTCCAGACCGGGGGTCCACCCGAGTTGGCTTGGCGTCCCCGTTGGACATAGTCATTCTGGTGGGCATATGGGTAGTAAGAAAAGTCGTATGAAATTATGTCCGGAAACACTACCGGCGGCGAGTACGCGTACTGCCCCAACCAGTGGCCTACGGGCTGGAACCCGTGGTGGTACCAGTCATGTTGAGCCACCTCCATCCGGTTGCCAGTGGCCGTAAGCACGTCACCCGTGTACGCCAACGCTGGTCCAGCGTGGTACCTTGAGCCCCCAGGGTACCGTCGCACGGGCGACCCGTCCCGCATGACCGAGCCGTCCCGTGCCCGGTGCCGGCCCTCTGCCGTCGCAGTGTCATCCGCGGTCGCAGTCTCCGCGGTCGCAGTCTCCGCGGACGCAGTCTCTGCGGTCGCAGTCCCAGCAGCTGCGGCAGCTTCGCCGCGATGGGCACTTCCCGGACGCGTTCTGCCAGTCGCGCCATCTCTTCGGAACGAATCTCCGACATCGGCCTTCCTGCCGACCCCCGAAGGCATAAAGTCCGAAGGACTCAAGCCCAAGGGGTTAAGGGGGTTGGCTTCTGAGCCGAGGGCTTGAGCCTTTAGGTTTGCCGGCGTCCAATTGAGGGGGTTCAGCATGGACAGTCTTGGAACACGGGCGATTAGTCTACGAGCATGGCTTACGGGGTGGGTTGGGAGTGAACAGTTAGTGCAAGGAGCAGATTGCGTGTGCGCATGGCAGCACACACTTTGCACACACTGCACCTGGACCCATGAAATTTGCGATCGCGAGCGTTGTTGCTACTCTGGCGGGAGCCGTGCCGTTGCCTGCGGGGCCTCCAAATCTCCAGAAATGGATCAAGATCAATGAAGTCGAGTACCCGGTCCCGAGCGGCATGCATCCCGAGAACTACCGGCAGCAGCTCTCTGATGCAGGTATTGCGCCTCGCTCGCAAGAACACTCCATGCCCATGAGTCCGCAATTCCCGCGCCCCATCAGAACCATACAGTCTGTCGCCGTACAGCCTGCCTCGGTGCAATCGGTCAACGTGGTCCCCACTATTCAGCACTACTCCATGCCCGCTGTACAACAGGGATACGAGCCGTCCTTGCTGCAACCCTTCCAGATACAGCACTCATCCGGTCTCTGGAACGGGGCTCTAAACCCTGTGGGTATGGGTAGTCAACTCCTTGGCGCTCATTACATGGCTGGCCCAACCCTGGGTGGTCATGTCACGCATAGCCAAATCATGAATAATCAAATCATGAATAATCAAATCATGAATAATCAAATCATGGGTGGCCAGCGCGTAAGAGAGCCGCTCGACAAACACCACTTTTATTTCAGCAATGGGTGAAACTCCGTGAGGGCACCGACCCCATCGAAGTCCCGTTCGGTAGTGACCCGCAAAGTTATCTTGACTCCATCCGCGCAGGTCGCAGAAATTTATCTCAGGTAAGTCTCCCCGTTCGTAAATTCCCAGTTCGAGAACTCCAGGTGGGTGATCTTCCAAGTCGGGAATTGCGGAAATCAAAAACTCAAAATCCTAACCTCGATCCCGTGATAAGCCGAACGACCCAATCCACCTCAAAGGAAGAGTACTACTCTCCCAGGGGCTCGGACACTTTTGCGATCCCCGCCGACCCGCACCTGAACCTGATGGGCGCTTATGTGAATATGCACGGTGATGCACCCCTCGTACCCGCCAGCATGAGCCACGTCCCCGGCTTGACCGGCGGTCTGTGGCACGCGGGCAAGAATGCCGCCGTGCATAGGCCAAGTCAATTCCCTGTCATCCGGGCTCCAGTCATTTACGGCAGCTCGTGGACTGCCGGACCCCAGGTGGGATCAGGCCTGGGCGCGGCTGGCAGTAAAAATCTGCAATTACATATTGGACACTTACGATCTGGAAAAGAATCTCTTCTTGTGTAGGTCTAAATAATCGCTCTTCATTTGTTTCACAAAAAGACACACCAAGTCGAATCCATCAACAGAATTAGGCGGGATAGAACAAGGGGTAGGCGGGATAGAACAAGGGGTAGGCGGGATAGAACAAGGGGTAGGCGGCCAGAAAAGTTGGGCATCAATGCCGTACATCTTTGATCCGCCTCCGGTAGTGGGGATACCAATTGAAGGAACGGACGCCAGGTTTCCAGTGCACCGCGTATATTGCGTCGGTCGCAATTACGAGGACCACGCTCGAGAAATGGACTCTGGAGACACGCGCGAAGACCCCTTCTTCTTCCTGAAGCCGGCCGATGCAGTGGTCGCCATAGCCGCACAAGATGTGGCCGAAAAGGCTGGTGGCCGAGCGGAGAAGGGCGTGGTTAGGTTGCCGTTTCCCAAGCGGACGAGTATGCTGCACCCAGAGGTTGAGCTGGTGGTGGCGATAGGTGGAGGCGGTTCGGATATCCCCGTTGATAAAGCCATGGAGCATGTGTTCGGGTACGCAGTCGGCCTGGACCTCACGAAACGAGATTTACAAAACGATCTTAAGGCAAAACGCCGACCGTGGTGTTTGGCCAAAGCCTTCGAGCAGTCAGCTCCGGTGGGAGCGATTACACCCTACCGCATCCTGGCTAACGACTGTCGGACTTTCTCGTCCCCGACTTTCTCGCCGAATGGTGTTGTTAACGTCACTGGTAGTGACATCACTGGTAGTGACATCACTGGTAGTGACATCACTGGTAGTGAGATTTCGTTGACGGTAAACGGAACGAGGCGTCAACAGAGCCGTATTACGCATATGTTATGGACCATACCGGAAATAATTTCACATCTATCTGCCTCGTGGACACTGCAGCCAGGCGACCTTGTATTCACGGGGACTCCTGGGGGCGTCTCATCAGTTGAGATAAACGATTTGATCAAGGCGGCTGTGGAGGGGCTCCAGCCGATCGTAATCCGCTTCACTTAACCGCAACTGGCAAGTTGCTTGCCAAGGAGTGGTACAATACCCCCTTTGAGATCTAATTTTTAATTGCATGGG